ACAGGTCCATTAGGATCTCAAAAAATCGAAATTACTAAAGAGTACAACTCTGGAATTGATGCTGTATTTGACACAAAGAAAGATAAAGATATAGAAAATGTCGTAGAAATACTTTCTCATATCGTACGAGTATTACAAGCGCAAGCTAATGCAGTGGGAAACGATGCAAAACGTCAAAGAAATAATTAGTCGTTAATAATAATTATATTAACATTTTATAATTGTTCATCAATCTTTGCTCGAATTTAAAGAGACTATATTTCTGCCTAAATAAATTAATATTTATTGCTTTTTTATGACAATTATATAAACCATAGTATAGTAGGATTTGTAGTTACGAAATAGCTGAAACAATAATAAATTCCTTACGCATCTGACTAAAGTAAATTTTTATTAAAACATAGTGGTACAAAAGTTTATTAATTATACATTTTTAGTTCGCCTAACTACTTTTACCTGGATTAAGTATTTTATTGCTTATATAAAATATTTCAACAAAATTTGTACAGTAAATAATAATCTTTTTAGATTACTAATACTTTATTTATTTACTATGCCCTCTTTTTATCGGTCACTTGGGCGAAACCATTTAGAAACATTTTCGCACAATGAATTTTCGGTTCGCCCATGTTTCCGTAATTATCCAAAACCTTAATTTGAAAACACATTGTTATATGTGAACAAACTAGTTTCGCCCAAACATAGCCTATTTCTAGTTATCGGGTAATTTTTTCATAAAAATATTTATTATTGACACTAATGAATAGAAAGGCATAAAAAGGTAATATTTTTTGAAGCTAAAATCATTTTCAACCAATCATTTTATGTAGTTTTATTGTAAATGACGAGAGAAAGAACAAAATCTCTGAATTGTATATATAGCCCTGTTCATTTCTAGATCGGACTGGATCGACCGAAAAAAAATGTAACCAATCATATCGAAGTTACAATTGAGCACAAATTTTCTAATTTTTGATTGATCGGATCGACTTGTCAAATATGATTGGATTTGTCTTGTAGTATGAATCGAAAAATATATTATAATGCGCTATGGTTACAAGTCCTTTTAGGTGAAGAGGAGGAGGAAAATTCAAGTGATAAAGAAGAAAACATGGTTTTACGAACTGCTTTAATACAACAATTAAACACACGATATTTAAAGCTAGAAGGTCTACCATCATATGATCCTAATAGATTCAAAAAAATCTTAAGCTATTATAGATAAAATGCCACCAAATAAGTCAAAATAGTTTTTGATCAATTAACTCAAATGAGACACAATCCTGTTTCATTAAAATAAATTACAGAAAAAAGTGATATTATTAAGGAAATTTAAAAAATAAATTGTTTATAAAAAGTCAAAATATCAAACATCTTTTATGTTAGTAAAGATAGTGAAATGAAAACAGAAAATATTGCTTTTACTTATAAAGCAACACAAGCTGATTCTTTAAATAAAGCAACCAAAAAAATAAGATTTTGTTTTTTCAGCTATTATATATTTCATCTGATATTAATTTTTGAGAAGTTAAAATTTTTTTCTTAACTAATATCAACTGAAACTTCTGCCAAAATCATGCGATTTTTCTTTATCTCCTAAAAAAAATATTTTTGAGGGAGATAATGGATGTTAAAAAATTATCATGTTAACTGAAGTATAATGTATTTTAGAATTATAACTCGTATATGTTTTAGATAAGTGATTCAAATGTAAGATTCTTTCACTTACAATCATAAGGAGAAGATACTGTAAATCAATATATTAAGAACAAACTAATCAGCGTGAAACAAGAATTGGTTTAATTCATAAAGATACTTTTGACCGATTCATGGATGATATTACTATAAAGTATGAGAAGATAATCAACAGCTATACAATGAGATTGAAAATATGAAAATACAAGCACAAGAAGTGAATCAAATGATCCTTTTGCATTTATGAATGTACCTTAAATTTTTTCAAGTATTTTTATTCTTCTGAAAATTTTTTAAGAATTAGCATTCTTTCAGGAATCCTTGAATAAATAAATACAGATAATGTAAATTTATTACTAAATGACAGATATCGTATACTAATATTAAGTAAAACCTAAAACAATGCAGGCAATAAAATATATAACCTTTAATCCCAATATCTCAATATAACTTAGTATAAATGACTCTAAAGTTAAACTTCAAAGAACACTTCTATATTAAATGTCATTCCATTAAATCAGTTTATTTGGAAATAGGCAAACTCCTAAAACTACTCTTCATCTTGTATACGTACTATTAATGTGTGATTTTTACAAACCATAATGGTAAGGTAGATGAGTCATTTGAGTAGTTACTTTTTATTAGTAACTTATTGGATTTATTAAAATAATTGTAATAATATGTATATTTTTAAGTAAAAGAACTCTTTATAAATCATAAATCATATAGCAATTAATCATTATATATCCAATATTATGCATGTAAAATAAGTTTATTAAAGATAAGATATATATAAGAATAATAAAAATAAAAGGACAATGAAAAGATGAATAAGTATATTAGCATCAGGTTAGAGGAAAACATTTACAAACCATTCTATTTATATAAAATAGTTTATATAGAAAGATAAAACTAATATATTATACATGTCTAATAAATCAAATATATCTATTATATCTGTCCTGTCTAATATGTCCTATTTGTTAAACATATCAGATATATCATATATATCAGACATATCAGAAATGTCAGTTATGTTAGATATGTCAGAAATGTCAGATATATCAAATATATAAGTTATGTGACATTTGTTTAACATTTCTAATGTTACATATGTAAATCATTTGCAGATCATCCAGTAGATCAATTCTTTAGATCATTTTTGTAAATCTTCTAGTAGATCAATTTTGTTAAACATGTTGATCATTTGCTATGACACATTTTCTTGTTATAATGTAATTGTACCAAAGAAAAACTTGAAATCTTCAGATAAACAGTTATCGTTTGTCATTTTATATTGTAAAAAAACAAAATATATAAGTTTCATATTTAAAAAAGTATAGAAAGGTAGAAGTTTTAGTTCACAGGAATATAGAAAAAATTTTTTCATTTTTATTTTATTATGACATCAAGATAATTAAATAATTCGTCATATCCATTATTATTTCAAAAGTATTTAGAAATAGAAAATAAAAAATCTTCATTATTGTTATCCTCATTATCATCAAAAACAGCAAATATCGAAATTGGAAAGTAAATAGAACGATACTTATCAAATTTACCTACAAATCTAATTTTAATAATAAATTTTTTTAAAATTTAAAATTTATCCAATTTCTATAGTAAAAATTTAATTTACTTACAAATTTTTTGCTTTCTATAAAATATATCATCATTTTCTATACAACTTCAAAAATCTTCAAGCTTTTATTATGGATCAATAATCGTAGAAATATAATATACTAAGCTTATTTTATGTCACCTTTGTAGTGTAACTAAAGATTTTGAAAATTTTCAATCCTTCATTATTTTTTCAGTATAGTCCATTAAATGATTATACATAGGGTAAACTAAACTTATGGTTATATAAGTTGATGCACATATTTCAGTTGAAATTCTTGCAAATTGCTTTAAAAAAATTACAATCTCCTTAAGAGATTTCCAATCTGATTGAGTTAAGCTAATATCTTTGATAAATGAAATTTATCAGTTAAAACAATTTTATCAAAAACCTAATTATATAAAATCTTTAATTAATTATATATAAATCTTTAACATGGGAAACGGAAACCGTTGTTAAGTCCGGAGCTTCTTACAGGTTACAGAACACATGATAAAGACTACTTAACGTGATCATGGCAGAATTAAAAAATAATCAATCACAGATTTCTAAATTAAGTAAATCCGCCCTAATTCTGGCTATGTTTATAATGAAACAAAAACATGACTACAGCTCAATTTTTAGATAGTTACTGCATGTAAATTGAATGTAATGTTTCGAAACAATAAAGAACAATAAAGTATTTCTTAATGATTATTAGATACTTTTTCAAACTCCAAAAATATTGTGTAAGCAATGATTGTGTTAATTTTCTTTGTATCAATTTGTTCTTTATTTAATTTCGATTAACTGATCCAGACAGATTGATTAATTAGTTAGAAAATGAATGTATATAAGAGATGACAAAGAAAGAACACGAAATTTTGTAATAAATAAAATTTTTGTTTCTTTTTGAAAGATTTTGAATTTTTATTTTAGAAATTAGATATAACTTTTATCGGAATAGATATTTACTTAATTTAGAAACGTAGTGTAATGTCTTATGATATGAGGCATGGGAGGACAATAAGACACAGTGCGTAGAAATATATAGTCCTTTGCTAACGCTCTGGACTAATAATTTAAATTTTAACTAAAGTACTAACCACTTTCAAATCTAAAGCATATTTAATCATTTCATACATAGTATTCCAACAAGTCAAAATGTCTAAAATCAAAGACAGATTTTTAATGCCATTAAGATTTGAAATTTCTTTGAATTTTTGTTGTCGTTAGTAAAAAGAATGATATTTAATAATAATATTTCTGATTCGATCTATTTCACATTTAAGTTCTTTTAAAGCATATTGAATTGCAAGGTTTAAAACATAAGCAAAATATTGAATGTGATTATTTTTAACAGAAAAAGTAATATTATTTTCTAATGCCTATAAGCTAAACTGTGTAAATATTGTGTCGTTATTAAAAGTATTATCGTTTATAATACAATTAATCTATAAATTAATTATATGTATAATTTCTATTTGTGATACAAAATCAAAACAAACATGTTAATAGTTTCACATACCTTTGTAGAAATCTTGTATGTTTCTAATATATTGATTAACTTTTCAGCAATATATTCACCAGAATGAATGCCTTCTAATTCATTAAAGTCAAGTATAAGCTTTCAAAGATTCTATGATTTATCGATAAAGTGAATTGTAACACCTATGTACGCTTTAATTACAACAGAAGTTCAAAGATCCAAAGAAAATGATACATTTTCTGATATGACATTGAAATTTGACAAACTCTCACATTATATCTCTCTTTATTGTATAAAGGATACAATTATAAATCTGATAGCCTTTTCCAATAAATCTTTGATTCTTCTTTTAATAATTGAAAATGTGTGACTTTTAAGGATAATCCATTTTCGTAAAGATTTTCA